GAAGAGCAGCTCTTCACATATTTGGTTAGTTCTACTTACAACGGTGAGTAATCTCAGTTCAATTGCCCTCATGATTAAATTCTTCAAGGCTTTGGAGGCTAACTTGCATTTTTGAGTATTGGACAAATGGTATCAGTCAAAAGGTAAAGGCTCCTCGAATTACGAGGGAGATGGAGGATATGTTGGAACAAACAAAAAAAAAAAAAAAAAAAAAAAAAATGGTGTACGAGTACTATCAAGTGCATTCTTCAAGCAGGAATCTGGCTAAATATGTTAAGATGGGAAGTGACAAGGAAAATAAGACTGAAGGTGGTATATGAAAATAGATTGACAGTTAACATGCAGAACCCAAAAACCTCAAAACTGCATTAAGTGGAAGCAGAAAATGACAGATGAGGTGGGAGCCTGTTAAGGAAAAGGTGATATGCGCTTCGGAGGCACAGGGCAAGATTGGAATATTTAATAATTACTTTTCGTTGGTATTTACTAAGGAAGAAGCAGCTGATAAAATACTTGTGAAAGTGGAGATAGCAAAAGGTAAACGCGTAGAGAGAACATTGACAGGCAAGATATATTGAAAAGACTAGTTAAGCTCAAGACTAGCTAAATGAACTGGCCTGAATGGAATGCATCCCAGGTTGCCAAATAAACTGGGAGTTTAAGTACCAAAAGGGCTTGACAAAACCAATCTACCACAGAGAAGGCCCGAGTTGAAGTCCCTCCTGCTTCAGAGATGAGAGATAACATGTCTGAACAGGGCAATTTAAAATATACCCAATCTACCCTAGGTATGGAGGGAAGGAGCAGTTGACTGGAGACTGTCAATCATTCAAGGGAGGGTGCAACAATATTGCGACATAGTACTTAGGATTTAGGAGCAGGAGTAGGAGTAGGCCGCTCAGCCCTTCAGCTCGGTTTTGTCATTCAATAATATCATGACTAATTTGATTATTCCACTTACTGCCTATCTTGGAAAGGTAACATGGGACTGAAAGATTCAGGATGTGTGTGTCTCTTCCTTAAAAATATTCAAGGGCTTTTTTTCCAGAGACTTGGGAAGAAGAGTTCCAAAGATTTACCATCTTCAGAAAAACAATGCATTAAATGGGTGACCAATTATTTTTAAATAGTGATCCCAAAATTCTGTTTCCTCTTATGAGTGTATCTATTGCCCATATCTATCCTGACAAGTCTCAAGATCGCATACGATTCATTCAAGTTGCCTCATTCATCTAAACTCCAGCAATACAAGAATAGCCTGACCAACCTTTCCTTATTTGACAACCCACCCATTCTAGTTAGTCAGTAAACTTTCTCTGAACTGCTTCCAATTAATTTACAATCTTCCTTAAGGAGACTAATGCCATGCACAGTATTCCAGATCTGATCTCACTAATATTTTGCAAAACTGAAGCATACCCACCTTACTATTGTATTCAACTTCCCTCACAATAAGTAATGAAATTCTATTAGTTTATAGTAATTACCATACTCTAGGACACTGTATCCCTCTGTATCGCAAAGCTCTACCATCTCTCACCAAGTAAATGTACTTATTTTTGTTCTTTCTGCCAAGATGGTTAATTTCACACTGTCACATTACACTCCATTTCCCAGATCTTGCCCACACAACCTATATTCACTTTGTAACCTCCTTACGTCATCTTCATAACATACTTCGCTATCGTATCAGTTACTAGCAATTTAGAAACCATACCCTCATTCCCTTCTTCCAAGTCATTTATAAAAATTGTAAAGTGGAGACACTACACTACTGTATTCATCACATTTTTCCAACCATCAACTGACCCATTATGACTACTCTTTCTTATAGGTGGACAGTCTTCTATCCATGCTAATGTGTTACCACCTACAGGATTTTTTTTTGATAAACTTGTTACAAAAAAAAAAAGGTTTCCTTCTGGATATCTAATATCTACAATGTATTCACAGTTTTCCCTTTATCCACAGCACTTGTTACTTCCTCAAAGAATTCCAATACACTGTACAAACTTGCTTTCCATTTCACAAAACCATATTACTCTGTCCGATTACCTTGATTTTTTCCAAGTGCCCTGCTATAACATCTTTAATAATAGCTTGTAATACTAGCCTAAGACAGATGTTAAGCTAATTGGCTTATAGTTTCCTGATGTCTCCTCCCTTTTAAATGCAAGAGTTACACTCACTATTTTCAAATCTAATTAACTTTGGGCCAGTTTAAAACCAATACACTATCTCACTAGCCATTTTAAAACCCTAGGATGAAGTCCATCAGGACCCAGGACAAGCCACAGCTCCAACAACTTTCAGTATCACTTCACTAATGATTCTAATTTTGAGTTCCTCTCTCTCTCTTTCATTTCCTGATTTACAGCTATTTCTGGGATTTTAATGGTGTCCTCTATAGTTAAGACTGTTGCAAAATACCTGTTCATCTGCTATTTCCATATTTTCCATTATGAAAATATGTCTGGGGAATTAACAAAGAGTGGGACAACAATCAGTGAGAACAAACAGCAGGCAAGCAACGAGGCTGGAGTGAGCGAAGCAGCAAAAGGAATTTCGGAAGGTCAGCCACAGAAAAGACTAGTATTGATATACTCTGGGCTCCAGGAACTGATCTGGGTGAATGTTAGCTGTCAAGTCCACCTAATTCATTCCGTCAGACTGGGCTCTCACCTGTTAATTTCCTGTCATGGGGAATCTAACACTTTTTCCTCACAGACTAGAGCTGTAGTAAACCCAACTTAATCATCAAGGATGTGCTTGGTTGTTGTAGTTAAGTGTCTAACATTTGGCAGGATTGTTGTGTGGTCATCCAGGTGCACTATTTAGAGGGAACTGTTCGAGTACTAAACAGATTCTTGGAAAAGTCTGAGCTAATTGAGGAAGGAGAGCCAGCATACATCTGTAGAAGGCAGACTGCACATGATTAACCTATTTGAGTTTTTTTGATTAAGTCACAAAAACAGTTGTTGAAGAAAATGCAGTGAATGCTGTCTACACAAGTTTTAAAGAAATGTCTGACAAGATACCACAATACTTTTGATTAACAAAATAGGAGGGCCAGTGTAGGTGTTTACTAGTCAACATGTCCAGAGTTATTACACACCACTGGAGCAGGTGGGACTTGAAATAGGCCTCCTGGCCTACAGGTAGGGATAGACCAGCGCGCCGAAAAAAACAGCCAATGAGCCATGGTAAATGGGTGTTTTTCATACTGGAAGAGGGCCGTCAGTAAATGTTCCCCAAGCGGCACCCCTGCAATCATTGAAACATAGAAATAATCAAAGCAAAGAAAATAGTTTCAGGAGTAGACCGTTCAGTCCTTGAACCTGCGCCACCATTCAATATGATCACAGCTGATCATGCAATTCTAGTATCCCATTCCTGCTTTGTCTCCATACCCCTTGATCCTTTAGCCGCAAGGGACACATCCAGCTCCCTCTTGAATATATCTAACTAACTGGCCCTAACAGCTCACTGTGAGAGAGAATTCCACAGGTTCACAACAATGAGTGAAGAAATTCTCCCTCACCTCGGTCCTGAATGGCTTTCCCCTTATTCTTAGGCTGTGACCCCTAGTTCTGGACTTCCCAATATCGGGAACAATTTTCCCCACATCTGGCCTGTCGAGTCCCATCAGGATTTGATGGGTTTCTACGAAATTCCACCTCATTCTCCTAAATTCCAGTGTACAAGCCCAGTCGATCCAGTCTTTCCTCACTTGTCAGTCCTGCCATCCCAGGAATCGGTCTGCAAGGGTTTTGGATATTGGAATGCAGAGCAGACATATAACAGTTAGCATTTCAGGTCAAGACCTTTTATCGGGTTTGGAAGAAAGTTAAAACCTGAAAAATTAAAAGTGTTTCTCTCCAAGATATTGCTTGACTTGCTATGCAACTCCAGCATATCCTGCTGATAATTTCAGATGTCTAGTAACTGCACTTTACACTTTATATTTCAAAATCTGCCAATGATAAAACAGTGATGATACAAGTTCATTCAATGGCTTACAGATCGACTAGCAGAACGGGACAAAAGAAAAGGCCAGAGGGAATCTCATACAGACCCAATGGCACAGTTCATATAGATAGAGGGATCTTGGATTCATGGGCACAGACCCTTGAAAGTGGCAAGACACATTAAGTGTGTGGTCAGCAGTAGATGCTGCATTTCATAATTAGAGGCAATCAAGTACAAAAGCAAGGAAATTAAGCTGAATCTATATAAAGGTCTAGTTAGGCCACAACTATAAAGACACAAAGGTCCTTGAGACGGTACAAAGATGATCCATCAGAATGGTTCTAGGAATGTGTATTTTTACCTATTAAAGAAATTAGGTTGAAGAAGCTAGGGTTGTTCTCCTTGCAGTGAAGGAAATTCATGGAAGATTTAATACAAGTATAAATGTTACAAGTTTAGACAAAGACAAAAAGCTGTTTCCTATTAGTTGACGATAAAAGGACATGGAGGCAGAGATTTAGGGAACTAGGTTTAGGGAAAGCAACTATAAGAGGTCTGAAATGGGAAAGTCCACTGATAACTGCAAAACCACTCACAGCTCCACTGACATTGAAGCAAGCAATGTCCAAAAGTAGCAAGGCTTGAAAATCAATCATTCAGGCTTTGGCTGCTAAGTGGCAAGTGACATTTGTATCTTACATATGCTAGGTAATGAGAATTATTATACCTATCTCCCCATTACATTTAAAGAGCATTACCAAACACAATTTTAAAAAGAAATTCATGGTCACTTGAAATATAAACTTCCGTGGCCATAATAATATAGTAGTAAAATGAGCATGACTGTACTTCTCTAGACAGCTAGCATGAACTCCCATTCTATCATGATTCTATGGCTGGTCACCATCATTATGCTCTTGAGCAATTAGGAATAGGCAATAAATGCTGGCCTTGTCAGAGAACACTCACATCCAAGAACGAACAAATAAAACTGTCAATACAGTACAAAAACTGCCGGAAAAAAGACTCACTCTTATGTTTTGTGATCTTGTTTGGACAAGGCCGCCACTTCGAATCACATACACTGGAGTATTATTAACTTCATTATCTGCTTTATGCCGCAACCAATCTTCATAACCCTAAACACAAACAAAAAACTTTCACCAATTATGTAATCAAGAATTCAGACTTCCTGAAACGTCAAGTTATGAGACACCATTTGAGAATACAGATAAATAGGGACGTATGGTGAAGATGCACCTGACATTGCATATGTACCATTTACCTTTTAGCTATTTACTAACAGTTTTGAAATTACTTGGCAATTTTGTAATTTGAGATAATTTCAGGAAATTGTGCATGCTTAAGTATCGTAGTATTCAATTTTCACAAGTAAAGAAGAAAAGTTCGCTTGACTCCATGTGCCAAGTGCCATTTACAGGTAAACAGCAAACCACTGAGGCTCCTAACTACTGCAGCAGTCAACTAGACTTACAACTAGCCTTACTCCTTTCGTTAGATCATGAGGAAAGGGAGGGAAGTATTCAGGCGTCCATCTAATTTTGTAGCTCCATGTGGAACCATTGCCACATTTCTCACCAGCACTTCTGATTCCAGCTCCTGAAGAAAAGTGGAGAATACCTGGAATCCAACTGTTCCTTCACTGGGGAGGATAAACAGTGAAAGTCAAACTCCACACCCCTTTTGCAGCAATACATTTAAATGTCCCAAGGCTTCATTTGTACAATTACTCATTATACCTTGGCTGGCATTTTTGTTTATAGTGAATATGCCCCAACACACCCATCCTCTTGACCTCCTTCCTCACCCAGAAGAATCATAAATCGGCCTCACCCCAGCATGCGATGGTGATCAACGGCCCCTTCACACGACCCAGACATCAAACATTGGTCCCTGTGCACTGTGACACAGTGATTACCCCACCCACCCGCGATGATTCCTTTCCCCAACTGCAATGAACACCTCTTACCCTCCCATGTGATCAGGTGATTACACTCTCCTCTACTCAATTCTCCTCTCTACCCACTCCGCCCCCAACCCCACCCCACGAAATCACACAATCACCACCAATCCAAACCCCCAGCAATGCTGACTTCTGATATCAGCCAGACAGAAGCCAGGGCTCTGGAAAGCAAGTCAGGAGAATGGATGCAGAACTGGCTAAGTCCCACATGTAGTCAGCTGACATGGGACTACCTAGCTGTGTTTCTGCAGATGCGTGGTGACAAATGCATTGGAAAAACCAGCCAGAGATGCGTAGGGCAATGGCAAATGCTTGGTTAAGTACTTAATAACCTGAGGCCATAGTTCATTTTCAACTTTAGATTCTGATTTCAAGCTATAAAAACAGAACACAAATTTAATATTTAAAGCAGCATACAAAGGAGTGTAACACATTGAAGGAAGAGAGAATGGAAATTGCAGAGACACTGACCATAATCTTTCAGTCTTCAGTAGCAACACAGCTTCAAAATTGGCTGAGTAATTGAAAAGAGAGTGTGGTCAATGAATATATTTCAGGCTGGAAACATGCAAGTAGAGGAGCTTCCCATGGTCAACATTGGGAATGTTGGGAACATTTTCCTGATATATATCAATGACCTAGACAATTTCAAAGTTTGTGGATAAAACAAAACTTGGAAGCATTGTAAACGGTGAGGACGACAGCATAGAACACCAAAAGAATGGAAACAAGTTGACGGAATGAGCAGATACATGACCAATCTCAATACAGAGAAGTGAGAGATGATGGATTTGAACAGGAAAAACATTATAAAATAGAAGGCACATAACTTAAATGGTTCATGAGCAGACAGACCTGGAAGTACATGTGCACTGATCATTGAAGGTACAAGGATAGGTTAATAAAGTGCAGTTAATAAAGTTTACTGTATCTGGGCTACATTAAACAACTCACTGGAGGAGCTTCTCAAATATCCCCATCCTGAATGATGGAAGCACCCAGCATGAGTGCAAAAGACAAGGCTGAGTCATTCACAGCAACCTCCTGTCAGAAGTGCCATCCAGTGGTCCCCAGCATTACAGATGCTAGGCTTCAGTCAATTTGATATTCTGTGGAGTGAATCAAGAAATGGTCGGAGGCATTGGATACTGCAAAAGACCCATAGGGTCCTGACAACATTCCAGCAATAGTGCTGAAGAGTTGTGCTCCAGAACTTGCTTCAACCCTAACCGTGCTGTTCCAACACTGCACATCTACCCGGCAATGTGGAAAATTTCCGAGTTTATCCTGTACACAAAAAGCTGGACAAAACCAAATCTGGCCAATTACTGCCCCATCAGTCTGCTCTCGATCATCATTAAAAGCTGATGGAAGGTGTCACCAATAGTGCTATCAAGGAGCACCTGCTCAGCAACAACCTGATTAGTAACACCAAGTTTGGGTTCCGCCAGGGTCACTCAGCTCCTGACCTCATTACAGCTTTGGTTCACACATGGACAAAAGAGCCGTATTTCAGCAGCTAGGTGAGAGCGACAGTCCTCAACATCAAGGCTGCACTTAACCAAGTGTGGCATCAGAAGCCCTAGCAAAAGTGGAATAAATGGGTATCGGGGGTAAACTCTCCAGTGGTTACAGTCATTCCTGACACGTAGGAAGATGGTCATGGTTGATGGAGGTCAGTCAACTCAGCTCCAGAACATCTCTGCAAGAGTTTCTCAGGGTAGTGTCCCAGGCCCAACTATCTTCACTTGCTTCATCAATGAACTTCCCTCTACCATAGAGGAGGAAGTGGGAACGTTCATCAATGATTGCACAATGCTCAGACCATTTGCAGAGTGTTTCAGTATCTAGGGAGTCATGTTCAAATGCAACAAGATCTGGACAATATCCACGCTTGGGCTGATACGGGGCAAGTAACAAGTTACCATTGACCTAAAACTCACTGGACACACTGTATAAATACAGTGACTTCAAGGAGTAAGTCAGAAGTTAGGAATATTGCGGTAAGTAACTCACCACCTGATTCCCCAAAGCATGTACACTATAAAGGCACAAGTCAGGTGTGAGATGGAATACTCCCAGTAGCCTGGATGAGTACAGCTCCAACACCAGAAGAAGCTTGATACAATCCAGGGCAAAATAGCCTGCTTGATTGGCACCACAATCACAAGAATCCACTCCCTTCACCACAAATACTCGGTACACACTGCTGGTACGGTCTACAAGATGCACAGCAGAACTGCAAAGCTCCTTAGGCAGCATCTTCCAAACTCACGATCACTTCCATCTAGAGGGACAAGGGCAGCAGATACATGGAAACACCACCACCTGCAAGTTCCTCTCCAAGCCACTCACCATCTTGACTTGGAAATATATCATCTTCCTTCACTGTCCCAGGTCAAAATCCTGGAATGCCCACCTTAAGGACATTGTGGATCTACCTACAGCATGCGAACTGCAGCAGTTCAAGTAAACATCTCAACACCTCTGCTGGGCAACTCAATAGGTAATAAATGCTGGCCAGCCAGTGAATTCCAAACAAACAAAGAGTGTACAAGAGCAAGGAGTTTATGCTGAAAATACATCATGCACACTTCTTGGCACCACACTGGAATAAAGATGTGGACACATTGGGGGGAGTGCAAAAGAGATTTACAAGAACGTTTCCAGGAATATAAACTCGTTATGAGGATAGATTGAAGTTAGAACTTTGAAGCTGAAGAGGAGATTTGCTAGAAATTTTTGAACTCAAGAGATACGGATAGGGTAGATAGGAGGAAACTGTTTCTCCTCAAAAGAAGGTTTAAGAATGGGAGGGCACAGATTTAAAGTGATATGTATACATAGTAAACATGATGGGGAAAATAAAAAAAAAAAAAAACTTTCACACAAGGGGGATTTGGGTCTAGATTGCATTGCCCTGGATATATGGTGGAGGCAGGTTCAACTGAAGCAGTCATGAGTTCATTAGATAATTACTTGAACAGAAGAAACATGCAAAGGTATGGGGATTTAGGCAGGCAAATGGCATTAAGTCATAATGCTCATTGGACAGCGAGTGCAAACAAAAAAAAGGGGTAAGTGTCCATTCTCGGCACTGTAGCAATTCTGAGATCCAGAAACACAACTGTTCAACAAAAATATCTTTGCTCAATAATAGTACGCTCAAAAGACTGAAATAATTTGGGTTTCTTTCCTAACCTCGATTGGTACTCCAGTTTTGTAACATGTAGATTTGTCTCCACAAATGGAACCGATTTATCACAAGGAAGGATAAATGGACTAAAAATTAAACTCAGTTTCTCAAATATTTTAACGACTAATTTCTCTGCAATGTGAGAAAGACATCCATCTGCCTTCTTAGAAACAGTTTCACTCACCAAAACAGTTTGCAAGTCAAAAATGTACTGATTTCATGACTAATATGATTTAAATTAGCTTTCTTTCTTACCTGTTTAATGGCAGTTACCGTAATTACAAAAAACAATGGCAGTCCACTGGTGTACGGGCTGGTAGGAGTGTCTATCATCAGCTGCAAAGGATGAAAGTAACTAATATGAAGACAACATAAATTTAATTATTGATGTGAATGCATCAAAATACACATTTCAAAACTTTCAAAGTCTTATCACAAAGAGGAACTGACTGGAAAGAATTTTAGATCGCACTATTGGCAATAAAAGTCTGACAATACAGCATGCATTGGGCTACAATTGTATCAAATACACGTTACTCCTTTGAAAGTAATGTGTAGAATGGCCGATCTTAATACTGCCATAGGACACTGTTAATCCAACAAGTGTTCCTTTCCTCTCCCTTCCAAACCACAGAACAGCGGTTTCATTTCCAATAGCAACTGCTGGGACATTTCTAATGTCTTGCCTTAAAAGTTTTTTTTAATGTCACAATTAACACCAGAACCAATGGGTCACACTCAAAAAAGGTACAGGGTAGGCTGTTCAGGACTGAGATGAGCAGAAATTTCTTCATCTGGACAGTAGTGAGCTTGTGGAATTCTGTCACAGAAAGAGGATTAGATATATTTGTTAAAGCTAAAGGGATCAAAGAGGATGGGGAGAAAATTTGAATAAAAGGTATTGAGTGGGATAATCAGCTATGATCATATTGAAAGCAGAGCAGACTTGAAGGGCTGAATGGCTTACTGCTGCCTCTATTTTATACTTCTTTAAATCGCAAACAGTAATTGCAGCCAAGCAGGAATCACCTTAAACTGGATAATGGATAAGCTCAAAAATTTGAGAGCCTACTTTTCCTTCTCAGGTTTGAAGGGATGGCCAGCTTATGTACCACCTAGAAGATTTTCTGAAATGCACATTGCACATCAGATAATATCCAATAAACTGTATCACAATTTTTTTTTTTTTTTTTTAAAAAGATGAATGGTTTCGCAATCTATTTCCAAATCATGTATTCTCACTTCTGACCATAAATTTACTATAACTAGAAATTATTTTTGGTATTTTCTGTGTTAAGCTTGAAACCTCAAATATTTCTTCTTCTAAAACCGCGAACAATGAAATTTCAAGGCGTTCGTTTTAAAATTGCTAAATATGAGAGTTTCTCCAAAATGGAAATAACCATCATGGCAACTTCCACAACTGTCAAAATCATCAGAAGATGGCTGCTTATAGCAAATATGCAAGGTCAAGATAATATATTTGCTGTTTGAAATTTTGCAGGCAGAAGTTTGCTCTCCAAAAAACGCAGCTTGTAAATTTTGACTTCTATACTTATTACAAAGAAATAGTTCGTTAAAGAAACAATATATTCACCAACATCAATATATTTCAATTTATAGTCCAAATATTCTTTTTATTATACTACTGTCAGCACTCAAATGCTTGTTAATGCTTTATTTGACTTTAATTTATATGCAAAGAGAGGGATGCACTTTCCAGGTGGATAGCTGGTCAATGACATGATCAAAGCAATGCAGAGAAGCACATAAATTGACCTCTGGGTCCTAAATCTGAATGCAAGACAATAACTGAATGTTTGGGGCGGGGTTGATGTTCAATAGTCATTGGTGAAATCAATTCAGAATCATTATTTGTTACCTCATTAAAGGCTTCAACTGATTATGGCATGTTCCACCAGTGATAATAACAACATTCATAGTTACTAAAGTACACTTACTTGCACAAGAAAAATTACAAGAAAGTAGAAGTTAGCTATTCTTCGGAATTGTTCAAATAAATTTTTTGGGATAAAATTCCATACTGTGTACTGCAAGAGAAAAAGAAAGTCATTTGTATTTACATTATAGAAATGAAAATTGCATTAATAAATAGTTCCAAATGTAAAATAACTTATTTTATCAAATTAAAGGCCAGTAGAGTCTTGCTTATCAGGAATAATCTATTTTAATGTGACTCAAAACAAATAGTATATCATTTAGCTTTGTAAGTATGAGATCCATCTGAGAACACCAAACGTAGGAACTGGAGTAGGTCATTCAATGACGTCACAGCTATTGTTCTAAACTGCACTTTTCCAGACTATTCTCATATCCACAGTATACCTTCAGTATTTATCAATGTCTGTCATGAAGAACTGAAGATTCACAGCTCTTCAATGCACAGAATTATAAACATTCACAACACTTGTGAATGTTCTCTTCACAATTCCAGATGATTGATCCTTTTGAGATTGTGGTCCCTCATTCTAGATTCTCCAAAGCAAGAAACCATTTTCTTCAACATCTACTCTAATAAACTCCTTAGTAATTTTATATGTTTCAATAAAATCATCTTTTATTCTATTAAAGATCAGAGAATGAGGCTTACTCAATCTCTCCTCACAACAATTCCTTCATTTCAGGAACCAGTCTGGTGAACATTTGCTGAACTCCTTTACGGCAGGTATGTCCTGCCCTACATATGGAAACCAAAACAGCACACAGTACACCACATGTGACCTTCTGAAATGTTCTGCAGAATCAGAGTGAAACTTGTGCAATCTTGCACTCCAATACATTAAGAAAATTTAACATACAATTAGTAAGGCAAGTTGTTTGCTTTACTTTGATCAATGTACAAGGAAACCTACTCGTGAATGCAAACATTTAAGTGACTTTGATCATTCAAAAAAACATTTCTTTTTAAACTTTTTCCTATCATGAGGACACTCCATACTTCAACATTGTATTCCAGCTGCCATGTCCTTACTCACTCACAAACCTGTGTTTTAATCTATCATCTCTTTGCATCTCCCTCACCACTTTTCCAATATACAATGTAGCATCAAACCTGTTCTCTGATCCCTCATCTAAGTACTTAACATACACTGTAAATAACTGAGGCCAGCACTGATTTTTGTACCACCCCACTGGAAACTTCCTGTTTATTTCTCTTTGCATCATTAACTACTTCTCAATCCACAATGTTTACTTCCAAACCTAAACTTAATTTTAGGTAATATCCTCTTGGGTGACACCCAAAAATTGTATGAAAACTCAAATACAACACACGCACTGTCTCCACGTACATCCTACTAGTTATGCCCTCAAAAAATTCTAACAGACTTCTTAAATCCATGCTGACTCTGGTTAACCAGATTCTAAGCTTCCAAATCCATCCTCATAATAGATTCCAATGCTTTGGCTAACCAAAGGAGGAGCAGGAAAGCTGATGTTTCAGGTCAGGACTTAGGGTATAACCAAATTTGCAGACAACACTAAAAGAGATGGGAAAGTCAGTTGCACTAAAGAAAAAAAAATTACAAGTAATTATGGACAGGTTAGGTGAATGGGCCAAAATTTGGGAGGTGAAGTTTAATGTGGAAAAGAAGAGGCTCTCCATTTTGATCAGGGAAATAGAAAGGCAACTTACCTAAATGGAGAGAAACCTCAGAATGCTTCAGTGCAGAGGGATCTGGGTGTCCTCGTGCATGAATTGAAGCATGGAGAAAACTAATATGCAGGTAATAAGGAAGGCAAATGGACTTTTGGCATTTATTGCAACTTTGAAATTTGCATCCTTTTTATCCTATTTCTCCATAGCCTCACAATTACTGCTCAAATATCTGCTTCCACCTATAACATTGTAGTCTGATTTATTGCATATCCCCGATTTTATTATTGCTTCATTAGTGATTGGTTGCCTAGGGCTGGATTCTTTTTCTAAACCTCTTTGTCTTTATCCAAGATATTCATTAAACCTTGGAGATTTGACCATACATTTTGCACTTATCCAAGATTTTACTATTCTGGTAATTAAGCCTGGGATTTCTCTTAGGATGTTTTACAACATTTAAACATTTTAAATATATAGCATGCTTTTATTATATTTTTCACTACAGACAGAAAATCTGAACCATGGCAAACAAGCTAAATTTCTCCTCATAATTAGTGCAAATGAGTATTTGAAAAAGCAGGCATTATAGGTCCTCCATACCTTTGATGATATCATCCTATTGTCTGGAAACTTCTGATGAACAAAACTCTCGTATTGGGGGAAATGATTTGAAACATAAATTGTCCTTGTGGGACTCTGGTGCGGTGGGTCAAATCCCTGCAAAAGAAAAATTTGTCACATATTTCATAATATAAAGAACAATGCAAAATACAATCAAAATTTAAATATCATTAATTTTTGGTTTTAGTGATTAAATAGTACTAAACCTGTCTTTCTGAACCTTGTTCATGTGACCACAACTTAAAACTAGAGGAAAATTAGCAAGTCGCTCCTGATAAAAGGGTGGGAATCCTAGCAATACACAGAACTTAAAAAGTAAAAACGGTTGACAGAACAGAAAGCATGTTTTTGTTAAAGCTGATGCAAAAGAACAGATTTATCCAGGTAATTGCAAGGCACAGGATGTAAAGATAGGTCAAGTGGCTCAAAGATCTATAGAGAGAGTGCATGTAAGGTGAGAAGATCCAGGAACGAGTTAGTCAGATTGGAGTTCAAGTGTGTGAGGTTGAAATGGCTCAAGAGCAGAAAAAGCCAAAGTTGACCATTCTGTAAAAAGATTTTCATTCAGGAGATTCAGGCTTCGCTGTTTGGCCACCATCTACTGCCCAGCCCAATTGACCTGGAGAAGATGGTGATGAGCTGCTTTGTTAAATAGCTGCAGTCCCTTCAGTGTAGGTACATCCACAATGCTAGGGAGAGAGTTCAAGGATTTTGATCCAGCAACACTGAAGGAATGATTATCTTTCCCAGTAAGGGCTGCGATTGGCTTAGTGAGGAACTTGCAGGTAATGGTTTCCCAATGTATCTGCTGCCATCTGAAAGGACAAGGGCAATGATCATGTTTTTGGAAGGTGCTGTCTAAGGAGCTTGTTGCTTCTGTGTTAGAGGCAGAGGAAGTGAAAGTGAAAATGAAAATCTATGGACTTGGTGCCATTCAAGTGGGCTGTCGTGTTCCAGATGTTGTCAAGCCTCAGTGTTATTGAAGTTACAGTAATCTACTTTTGCTTGCAGATTATTGACATGCTTTTGGGAAGGTGGTGTGTTTTTGGGAGGGGTGGAGGTGGGGTGGGGAAGTGAGATCGGAGAGAAAAGAGGGTGTTCAGGTTGGATATGATCATTGTTTGACGCTAGTGTGGAACAAATATTACTTGCTATTTGTCAGCCCAAGCTCGGATATTTTCCAGGTCTGGCTGCATTTGGCCATGGACTGCTCCATTACCTGGTGAGTCACTCGTTGTGTAATCAGCAGCAGACATTTCCACTTCTGATCTTATAATGAATGGAAGGTTGTTCACAAAGCAGCTGAACATGGTTGAGCTTAGGACACTATTATGAAGAACACCTGCTGCGGTGTCCTGTAGCGGAGTCAGCTGACTTCTAACAACCACAAACTTCCTTGTTCATTGGAAAAACAAACTCAAGATAACAAGTGAGACAATATAAGCTAGAAAGCAACGGTCTAGATGAATTCGAATTATGGAAGGGTCGAGCTTAACTAACCAGTATAGCAAGGTTGATGATGCAATTTCAATACAGCAAGATCACAAAGTTTTTTCACATAAAAAAAAAAATCAAACTCCCTAGTCTTTGCATTCAGAGATCATACTTGACTTTGGACCTTCTGGCTCAGAGGTAGGACTACGAATGCATTGCAAAACCGGTCTTTTACAAGGTCTCCCTAACACTGCATGTAATTAAGCAGGTCATGAGTTAATAGAATAATTGACTGGGTCACCAATACACGAGACTTCTAAAGAAAGGTGGGACCACAAGGGCAGAATAACTTCTCTCCCCTTCCAACTCCATTTTGATTTAGCCCTTCTCCTTCTCCCACCTCTCCCTTACCTTTGGTGGCCTGCATTCCCCTACCGGGCTTGCACATAATTTGATTAATTGGAAACAGGGTTAATTATTGGGTGGCCAGGACGAGAATTGACTGGACAGAGGAGATAAATTCCAATCAACCTGTTCAGAGATGCTATGACACACCTCTGGAACAATTAGAACTTGAGCCAGGAGATCCAGGTTCAGAGGTAGAGACATTTCTGCTGTTATCATGAGAGCCCTAATTGATGGGTAGATATAAAGAAGGAGCAAGTGGGAATGGTGTTTGGCAGAAGCTCCAAGATTGAGCTGTTGTTAAACTCCAACCACGATGAATGATGTCTTGGTTTATGCCTCATTAATTAAATTGGATCCAAATTGACAGAAGCAAGACTATGCAAAACAAGTAGAGAAAAGGAATAAGAAAAACAAACAAACAACTTCGTAACTCAGGCAGCATCTTTGGCAATAAACAGAGGTAATGTTTCGGTTTATGGCTTTTAACCAGGACCATAACAAAATACAAATCAATGAGTTTTTCAAACCAATGGAAAGGGAGAGGGTGCACGTCAAAGGAAGTTAAATAAAAATTTCATAATGCAACAGCCTTAAAGTGACCGTGGGTATAGTAAAGAAAAAGGTGGCGTCCAACTGAATTTTGAATTCCTGCATAAAGTGATAAGAGGATGTCAACTTTAAGTGTCTCTTGAATGAAGAAAAGAAGTAAAGTTGAAATATTCCAACTAATTGTCATTTCAACACAAGTTAGCTTTAATGTTTAAGTTCCAAATGGAAATTTAAATGTATTTTAATACTGCAGTATTAAAAAATCATGAACATTAGCAGTAAAGTCGACATAGGAAGAGCAGCATGCAGGATGATATGTTCAGAGCTTAGGAGAAAACAAAGTTTATAGTCATATGAATTGCAAGTACAGGGAAAGACGTGAAATGTGGCCAAGATATTCCAGAATTTGGCAAGCTTTAGATCTAATTGTACAAAAGGCTGCAATAAAAACTGCCAGATCATTCTTTTGCTTATAGTAATTGGACAAATATTACAGGAAATAAAACCCATTGGATTATTTAGAAAAGTGGAATGAATTTAAAAAGTTTGCACGAATTTGAAAATTCTGATTAAGTTATGTAATTTAATTAAAAATTAGTGAAAAGAATTTAGTCAAAAAAAATGAAATTTAGTATAAATTAAAATTAGAACAGGGCGAATTAAAAGTATTGTTAATTCAAAGTAAATATTTACAGCCAACCAAAATATAATTAATCATGAATACATCCAGGCCTAAGCTGCCAAGTCATCTGGTCTCCCCATTTTTTGCCCCCCACCAGGTCTCCCTGCTATAGGAAGGATGGATGTTGTTAAAACTTGAAAGGATGCAGAAAAGATTTACAAGGATGTTGCAGGGGTTGGAGGCTTTGAGTTATAGAGAGAGGTTGAATTGGCTGGGGCTATTTTCTGTGGACCATTGGAAGTCAAGGGGTGACCTTATAGATATTTATAAAATAATGACGGGCATGGATAGGATGAACAGCCAAGGTCTTTTTTCCCCAAGGTAGGGGAGTCCAACTAGAGGGTATAGGTTTAAGGTGAGAGGGGAAAGATGTAAAGGGGACCAAAGAGGCAACTTTTTCCATGCAGATGGTGGTGCGTGTATGGAATGAGTCTCCACAGGAAGTGATGGAGGCTGGTACCATTGCAACATTTAAAAGGCATTTGAATGAGTACATGAATAGGAAAGGTTCAGACGGACAGGGGCCAAATGCTGACAAACAGGGCTAGATTAATTTAGGATATCTGGTCAGCATGGACAAGTTGGACCAAAGGGTTTCCATGCTGCACAGCGCTATGAATATGTGAGAGTGAAGTGATTCTAAGGACACTTTTCTCATTTTAATTTGGCTTGATGGGGAACTAAATAGTGGAGGAGATGTTTTGTCCAGATATTATTCCCTATTACTTCATAAATTAAAAAAAAAACTTATGAACTGATGAGAAGCGTACAATTCTCATTCCTGCTAATATCTTTCCGTAACTTCACTGCTGCCACTGTGCAACATGGATGGGTTCCTAAGGACCCCTGAAAACTGACATATCCAAATGAGAAGGAAGCTAGCTAGAAATCTGAATAGATGGATATGTTCGCTTCATATCCTGATCTTTATTCATCTGCATCTTCATTAAATGAATGGTCAAAAATCTGACAAATACAGCATAGTGTGGAAAAATGTAAAGTTGTTCACTATGCTAGGAAGAAAAACAAAGCAAATGATTTAAAAAAAAAGAGAACAACTGCAGAATTCATAGGTACAGAGGATCTAGGCATTCAAGTGCATGAATCTCAAAAGGTTTCCTGCATCAGCTCAGGTTACCATAAGAACTCTCCTTCTCAACATCTACCATTGCCTGTGGTGTGGTGACCCTCAAGTAAAACCATCACCAGCTGTGTCTCTCCCTCGCTCTCTCATATGGCATTGGTGAAACAATTACTCAAGGATGAGCGGAGCAAGAGAATAAGAAGCATGGGCTCCTGTAGCAAAACCAGTAGCTGCGTAACATCACAAAATCAAGAATGAAGCTTTTAGTGAGTATAACTGATTAATGTTTCAAGATTTTAAAGTATCAGTAAGATAAACAATTTGTGCTTAGGTCTCCGGTGTTTTTTTCTCTTCATTTTCCTGCTGAAGTATAATATTGATACTTGTTGAATTTTATAAAGTTAAATATCACAATGGAAAAGCAGGGAATCTAGAATCACTAATTTTATATTCAAAAACAAATACGATAGTGATGGTAGAACAGTTGATATTTTGCTGCTGGAAACAGTGATCCAGAGCAACTGCATTTGTACTAAGTGTTTGAGGCTTGACGAACTTGGATCCAAATAGAGGAACTGGGTCCTAAGCTGCCGACATTGTAAAATCTGGAAGTGAAGGTTATCTGGACAATTCACTTCAGAGGGCAGATGCATCCCTCAGAGTAGGTAATTAGAAACTGGAACAGATGGGTGTGACTGCAGTTGAGGTAGGTATAAGAACACAAGGGTTGCAAAGGAGGAGCTTGCAATTGTCCAAAAGTTACGTGCTTCTTGTAAACTGTGCAGTCAAGAACGGGAACTGCAGGCAGAATGTCTGAACTGAAAGGCACCTTGATGCAGACAGCCATTCAAGTGAGGGAACGGAATAGGGATATAGCAGTGATATAAGACAGTATAATTGGGGAGATAGATATTGCTCTCCACAGCCATGAGTGGGATT